AACCAAAACCACAGGAAAACCCTGTCTCAAAAAACCAAAAAAAAAAAAAAAAATTTCTTTACAGAGTATTAAAATGGTGTGTAACACATAACAGGCACTCAGTAAACACAAGAGTAAATGACAGTTCAAGTTTTCTAATTTCGGTACAGCATGTGTCCCCAGAACCATCATGCAGAGAACTGAGTGGACTCAAGGTAGCCTTAGCTGTCAGCCTGCATCCTATGTTTCTCTCTCCGCCACATACCAGCACAAACATTTCTTAACATTAAGGGGGCTGCCTTCGGGTGTCCCTGACTTTCCTCTTCTCCAGCAACTGGCCACTTACAACACTATAACCTCTATCCTCCATGACCTCTCTTCTCATTTCCCCCTGAGGGACAAGCTGAAGAAAGGCCACTTATTATCAGTGCCTGATGCTACACCTGCCAGTCTTCCCAGATGTGGAAGGGAACATTCCAGCATTCTGTACAGGTGGGTTTGTTTGTTTTCATGTGGTCTTATTTAGGGTTTAGGGTTTCTATTGCTGTGAAGAGATGCCATGACCACGGCAACTCTTACAAAGGAAAAACAGCTGGGGTTGGCTTACAGTTCAGAGGCTTTAGTCCATTATCATCAAGGTGGGGAGCATGGCGGCATGCAGGCAGACATGGTGCCAGCTACATCTTGATCAGAAGGCAACAGGAAAATGGTCTGGGTATCCCTCTGAGTGAAGTGTGAGGCTTTATCAGACCTCGAAGCTCGCCTCCACAGTGACACACTTCCTTCAGTGTAGGGCGTAGTACCTACTCCAATAAAGTCGCCTCCTAAAAAGGCCACTCCCTTCAGGGGCCATTTTCTTTCAAACCACCCCACCCAGGTGTTTCAGAGTTCTTGCCTCTGAGCAATAGAAGCAGGTGGGGAACAGAGGGTGATGATTTCAGGTAGCAGAGAAGTATTCTATCGCTGGATTTACCACCACAGCTGCTAGAAGCCCGTGCCTCTGGGGACTCCAGCACCAGGATGAAGTTGAAAAAGTTTACAAAAAAAAAAAAAAAATCACTGGATCAGGAATTCAAGTTTCAAATAGGAGCATTTGATTAACAAGCTCTAGTTGTCAGGGATCCAGAGACTAAATATGCTTCTTTATGCTTCCCAGTGGGAGGGACCATCCCAGGATTCATGATGAGGATGGGGAGTTTGCACATACCCTGCTGCGGAGAAAAAATGTCAGGCCTTCCCAACATCTCAGCTCCACAGAGCAGCTTTTGAGAACATTGATAATGTATCGTTTCTTTTAAAGGGAGTGAAACCCAGTCTCTCATAAATCCAAATGGGACAGATTTCAGATTAACATACGCTGGCTTGTTAGGAATTCTATGTAAAGGCATTATTCATGCTTCTTCCCCGGATTCTGTGACCAGCTGCCTCAAGTTCCTGCCCCTGTGAGGAATGACCCCAGGGCTGTGAGCCCAGACAAACCCTTCTTCCTTAAGTTGCTTCTGCCAATCATTTTGATGCAGCAGTGAGGAGAGTGACTAACCAGGGCACACAACGTGCTAGAAGGGTTCAGGGAGCTCAGGGGAACACTGAGCACTTAACCATAGCGGTTTTATAAAGCTGCAGGTGAGCAGCCAGCTGGGAGAGGAACACAGCTCAAGGTAAGAGGGTAGCCCAGAGCGTCCGTACACTCCATGAACAACCTCCTGTGCTCTGCCACCCAGTGAATCCGTGAAATCCATTTGGGATTCTATAAAGGCTTTATTATATTGATGTGGTTGATTGCACCATTGGCCATTGGTAACCAACCCCACTTGTGGTCCTCTTGCCTTCCCTGGAGGTTGGGAACAGGGCCAGAAATCCCAACTTTAATCATGCTTTGGTCTTCCTAGTGAACATTCTCCTTCTACAAGCTACCTAGGACCCCTCCAGTCCCAGGGTACTGGTTCGCAAACAAAAGGCTTTCTGATCACAGCAGGGACTCCGAGGCTGGAAAAGCTTGTTAGGAGGTCCAGTTAGGGCAATGATGTACTCTGCAATATCACACAGACAGACCTGCAAGAGTACATAAAAGTACAGGCACAGAGGTGCTTCACTGAGTGTTGCTCAACCAGTCAGTAAATCATTTAGTGAAGGGTGTTGGCAATAGCCTACCTGCACCACTGTTCGATGTTACTGTATGTTCATATTAAGAGCCAAGCACAAAAACAGTGTATCGAGCGACAGCAGTGCCTTTGATACATTAAGTGAGGAGACAGCATGGTGAGAGAGGGGCGTGGCTCTATTTGCCTTGGTGGGTTTGTCTTCTTTTTAAAGTAGGGCCTTCATATAGAGCCCAGGCCAGCCTTAAACTAGAGATGTCCTGTGTCAGCCTCCCAATGTGGGAGCAGGCATTCACCACCATACTTGGCTTCTGTTTGGATTTTTGAAGGGACCTCAGATAGGCAGATTGGCGATAGCTAGATGAATAATAGAATACTAAGAAAGCAACTTAGGAGTGGGGAAATGGAGGACTTTCCGTTGGCCTTTTCACTGCGAGCATGCCCTCTATTTATAATCAAAACTAATTTTAAATGCCACAAAGTAAAAAAAAAAAAATAAGGGAGTAAAATTGATTCCTAACAAGCAGAAAACAAAGAACAAAAAAATATTGTCTTGCTCGATAAGGTTGTCTCCTTGGCACTAAGAATATTCTGCTTCAAGTCCCAGAGGGGAAACTGCCTGTCTAAGGTCACTACCCTGAATGTCCCCCAAGAGACTGGCCTCTGATCAGCTTTGGTGAGTTTACCCTGATTCTTGCCCAATTACTGAAGTAATTGTAAGTTAGGCAGAATCACCTTTGGGTCTCATGCAATAGCCAGGCTCAGCAGGTGGCACCTACAAGGTAGAGATGGCCGATGTCCCCTTAATAAAAGCCAATGGTCCTTACAAGCAGGGGCTAGAATGGGACAGACTCGAGTGGTCCTGTGATGTTAATGACGGTTATGGAGCCAGTATCCTTTGAGCGAAAAGCATGAACAAATGGTGCTAATGCCCCAGATGACTGGTTCTTGCTCTGGTTTCCAGAAAGCAACCCACTAACGGGCCTCTACTGTGTGGAGGCCCAAAAATGTGAGCCTGTTTCCACCTTGCCTGAATGTCAGAGAGTTTTAGCATGCTTGTTGACAATAAGTGTGGCTACCCACCTTCCTTGGTGTTTTGAACATTAAAATGGCCCACACAGGTAGATCCACTCCACCTTGACCTAGGTCAGAGAATTCAAGTGAACTTCTGCTCCTTCGTTTAAGAGATTTGACCTAGCGAGTTGGCTTGTTTTCTAGGGTGGGTTCAAAGGCCTCAACAATAGAATGCTTTTCTCAAGGATTAATGGCTTTATGGCTCAAAGTATTGAAGCAAGTAATTGTTCTAGCTGTCCTTCGTATTACTTAAAGCAGTTTTTTGTCTTCTTCCCCTTACTGTATTGTGGTATAAAAGTGCAGCGAAACAGCACTCAGGAGGCAGAGGCAGGCGGATCTCTGTGAGTTCGAGACCAGCCTGGTCTACAAGAGCTAGTTCCAGGACAGGCTCCAAAGCCACTGAGAAACCCTGTCTCGAAAAATCAAAAAAAAAAAAAAAAAAAAAAGTGCAGGGAAAGTAAATGCTGGTGAATTCAGCATTCATTATTCTACTGAGTTGAGCTCCCCGTTATTATCCTATGTTTTAGTGATTTGTTTTGTTTTTATTTTTCTATTTATTTATTTGTTTATTGAGACTGGGTTTCTCTATAGGATTCTTTCTTACCTCTGTTTCTCCTACCTAACATTTTTCTAATCCTCGTGCCCCTACCCTGGTAAGTGGTATACTTGTTGAAGCATGGGAGGCATGGTCCCTGACACTACAGAAGCTTGGATGACAGGAGGGTGTGGGACAGGCAACCAGCTGATGGAAGGGTACCAACAAAAGAGCCGTTCCTAACTTCCTGCCCACATAGGAAATTCTGCTCATACCAGAGCCTATGGAAACTCAGCCGCTAGCGCCTGCAAGATAGAGTTAGGTTGGCCAAATCTGGTCTACGGAGCTCTTCTTCCCCATCCTGGGGTGCTACGACGTGTTGCCCTAACCCTGGATCATCACTTCCCACTTCCCCAATTCTTCCTTTGTTCCCCCCTTTCCCCAGGCTCCAAGAACTAACTCCAGGATTTTCAGTATGGAAAGATGAGCAGTTAAGTCCCTCCTCCCCTTTCTACAGCTCAGTATCAGCATCTGGAAAACGCCCAACGCTGTCTGAGAATCCATACTCGGTACCCCCTGGAGCAAGGGTGGCTGGAGAAGGTCCATGACGCCCCAAGGCCAAGGCAGTGTGGTGGGGATGGGGCAAGAGGTTTAAGCCTGGGCAGTGCTTTGGCTATGGGCCGTGAGCACCAAATCTTCCTGTGCTGTAGGCTCGCTACCACTAGATCCTCTATGCGCCACTCTGCTGGTTCGCGGGCAGTCTTCCAGCGTAATGCCCACCATCCTCTACCAAGGTGAGAAGGCCTGCTCTAACTCCATCCTCGAGACCCCTCGTCCACATCTGTCAGGGACTGGAAAGAGACTTCCTGGTGAAGCTTCCTATGTCACAAAGGGTCTCTTCGCACAGTCCTATAGAAGGTCTCTTAGTGGAGTTCCCTCAAACACCCAAAGGGCAGGTTCCTTTGGACTGTCCCGCAACAGCACTATCCAAACCTGGTCAGGTTCAGCTTGCCCTTTGAGGCTCAGGTCTCGGTGCCTAGGGTCTAGCCTTCAGCCTGAAGCACCAGTGCCCCAACCATTGCCTAGCCTGGGAGGTTAGGTCACACAGTGGGGGGTCTCCAGGCCGAGTACGGCTGCGTCCCCACCCCCCACGCACGCACAAACGCGGAGTGGCCCGAACCCTGTGCCCCGCAGCGTTCGATCTCAGGACCGAGACATCCTGGGCTAGGGTCCTCTTGGCTCGGTGCGTTGCGCCATAGCAGCGCCCGCCTCCTGCTTCCCGCCTCCTGCCTCGGTGGCCGCGCAGGGTAGGTAGCTGGGGGGACCGGAAGGATGGCGAGGAAGTCGGAGAGGGTTTCCTGAGATGAGAGATTACTTCCGTCCGCGCGCTGGCCTCTCTCTGGAGCCGGCTGGCTGGGGCTCGGGGAGCGGGGTGTGCGGGGCTCGGCCGCGCCTTGCCACCTGCAGCGCCCGGGCAGGCCGCGGGGACCTGCGACAGCGGCTCACCCCGGCCATCCTTGCAGGTGGGAGTCGAGAGCATCTCCAAGCGCCCAAGCCATGGTGGCCAAACAGCGGATCCGGATGGCTAACGAGAAGCACAGCAAAAACATCACCCAGAGGGGAAACGTAGCCAAAACCCTGGTAAGGCGGGGGCGGCGCCGGCCGGGCCGAGCTGGCAGGACCCGCGGGGCGGAGCGGGGCGGAGCAGGCGGGCCTCGGGCTCAATGCCAGGCCTCCCGGCCCCTCCTCCGGGGTCCCGTAGACTGGGGGACCCGGGCTGGGCTCTGGGGGCGCAGACTGCTCTGCTTTCTCATGGGCGGAGAGGGCTCTGGTTGGTGGAGCCTCCCCAGGAAAGAAATGGTCCATCGTCCTTGGAAAAGGCTTAAAGCTGAATCTTAGTGTCCAGAGAAGCCAACTGGGCTGGGAGCCTAGTAGGTGAATGTGATGAATGAATGAATGGATGAATGGATGAACGAATGATAGAATGCTTCCAGACTCCGCCCCGGACTCTTCCCCACCCCCATACTAAGATATTCTCTCTCTCTCTCTCTCTCTCTCTCTCTCTCTCTCTCTCTCTCTCTGTGTGTGTGTGTGTGTGTGTGTGTGTGTGTGTGTGTGTAAGATGATCTGTCTCTTCTCCCCACATATATTGAAAGGGCTTAAAAGTAGGGCGTGCGATTCCGACCTAATGTCTCTCCATCCTCCTCTTTCAAAATAAGGCCTCCAGCCTCCACCGGGCTAAAGCTTAAGTGTACAGGTGCTGTCTATGGCTCTCCCTATGGATTCGGCCTCTTTATGATGCCGTGACTGTAGAGGGCATCTTATTGCCAGGGCTTCCTTGCTCCCAGCACTGTGGACTACGGCTTTACTCCTGGAATTTTAAGTAAACTGTGTACCTTAGGTGCAGATATTTATTTCCTTCAGTAAACTGGGTTGTCTGCTACAGAGAATGTCAGGCCTGTGACTTTGAACCATCCGAGGCTTGACTGGGCTGCGTCGTTGGGGAGAGCTGGTTTGCAAAGGCACCTGGAATCTATTATCCCATAAGATGAAGGGGAAGTCCAGCCCAAGCTTGGGGTTTGTCTGGAAACGCAGACTTGATGAGGCAATGCCTTTTAGCCAAAGACATTATGTTGGTTTGATTAACCGAGGGAAAAGCTGGGTGTGCTGTCATCACACCGGAATTCTTGCAAAACCAAGCAGAACTGTGGCAGAGAAGGCACAGCGTCAAGCTCTCCTCAGACCTTTATACACAGCTCCGGGCTTAGGTAACCCTTCAGATTCTGTCTTTGGGGGAACTGGAGCATTTAGCTGTGATTAGAGGGCACAGAATGGCAAGGCATCGTGGAATGGGAACCATATTTTTACAGGGATGTTTACCCTATATGTTTTTTATTGGGTGGGGGCAGGGAACCACACTGCCCAAGCTGACATTAAAAGCAGTTACTTCATGTTCCCAGGAGACCAGTTCTTCCTTCTCAAGGTGTCAGACCCATTTGCTGCCGTCGTGGAGATAAGTAGATACGATTCTTTCTGATGAACTGAGGACTCAGAGTTCAGGTGTTCAGTGAATTCAGATGTGAGGGCAAAAGTAATAGCACAGGAACTGATTTGCGGGGCTGTTTTCTCCCTCAGGCCTCTGCAGACTCGAGAAAATGTTACTGGTTCCAAAATGAAAAACAGTGAGAATGCACTATGACTAGAACTGGTCGTCTGCAATTCAACTCAACTTTCCCTGGCTGTATTTAAATTATATTTGATGTGTGGTATAAGTGCATTTGACAGGTTTTGCTATACCATTGACGACCTGCCTCAACAGTGCCTGGGGCCTATGAGGACCTGCCTGTGATTGGCCAGACTATCTTTGTAATGAAAGATTTCCAGGCCCCAGTAAATGTTTGTTTCCAGTTGTTTTGGAAGGGTCTTTTGGTTAGCTATATTGTAAGTAGATCAGCACCCAAATAGAAAACAACATTGTTCCCTGTAAATGCTGAATCTTGTTTTTCTAAGTACAAGTCAAACATAGTTATACTTTGATAGAAGTAGCTTAGAAAGGTCAGCTAATTCTGGATAGACTTTAGTAAATGGGAACAGATTTGCAAGTCTCCATTGAAAATTCAAGCTCGTTGTTCAGAAATCAACTTCCATCACTGTATACAGATGCCTCTGTCATGATTAGCTAATGGCTTTCAGATAAATCAGTGTTTTCCTCCCAGATAGACTGATACAAGAAACAGAAATGGAAGGACTGTTTGGAGATTGGACAGTAGGGAATTCTTTCAGAGTGGAAGCAAGGTTTAAATTGCAGAGTTCTGAGCTGCCCCGCAAAGATTTTTATCAAAGAAGAAGACAGTCCCTCACAGGATTTGAGGTGATCCTGGTTCTTTACAGAATGGCTGTAGAACCATTCCCCCTGTCTTTTGCAGCTGTAGAATGGGGCTTATGTAAAATGTCCCAATGAGGTTGGACTGACACCCTTTCCAAAAAAATTAAGACTCTCCAAAGGGGATGTACTGACATCATGATCAAGCATGTGCTTCAGGCTCTGAAAGACCACGGCTAATCTCCATTCACTGGGGAGTGCCTTCCAAAAGGGTTTTGTGTTAAACACTTCAGGCCACGCAATGATAATTTGTGTTTAGCTGTAGGTATAAAATACGGGACTCCATTTGGCATCCGTGGTAGCCCAGTGATTCATATAGAGGCTCCTAGATTCACTTATTGCCTTTGCTAGGAATGCAGTAAGATAAATCTCTTTAGAATGTGCCATGAGCTGCGCCAGTGGCAAAGCAGGGAACTAGGGCAGTGAAGTCTGAGAAGAGGCTTGGACGGGCAGATATCACACTCCGTTCAAGTAACTTTGTTTACAATCTCGGATATTTGCTTGATCTGAGCTTGACCTAGTCTTATGTGCTAAGGAGTGACAGGGTAAAGTTCTGTTGTGCGATTCGTAAAGACTTATTTGGTTCTTTTTTGTTCAAAAGCACCAGCCTGTTATATTGTGATTCCCCAGCACACATGCTAGTCAAGGCCAAAGAATGAATGACTTTAATCATTAAATCAAAATCATTTAATCAAAACTGAGCTGCTGTTGACTCACTGATCTCTACTTCAGTATCCAGTAAGTGGGAAACAATGGCCCACCCGTTACCACCAATTACAAAGTATCACGTAGCTAGGCTGGTAGACCACTTGTCTAGAATGCAGGTAGCCCTGGTTTTGATCCCTAGCACCACATAAAACTGGGCATGGTGTTGCACAGCTGTAACCCCAACATTTGGGAGGTGAAAGGGGAGAAAAAGAGGGTCAGGTCATCATTGTCTACATAAGTTGCAAAGGTCAGGTCATCTTTGGCTGCCCATCAAATGCAAGGCCAGCTTGGACTAGAAGAAAGCCTGTGTCTACATAAATAAATAAAAGGACAATACTCTCTGTAGACTCACATTCTGCCTGACCTGTGGAATCATGTTTAATGAAAGATGCATGCCCATTCATTCTTTAGTGAACATTGATTATCTTCTTTAAGTCTATACCAGACTTTACTATACATTGATGCTGTACATTTCTTCTTCGAAGAAACTCATTGTCAGCCCTTACGGCTTTTGTCATGGAGAGATTCACCTTAAACATGTTTCCTTGGGAGTCAACAATTCCAAACTATAAAAAAAAGTCAAGACATACAAATGGTCATGCAGATGACAGATGAACCCAAGCAAGGTAGAGGGGGGCTAAGGAGGTAATAGGTAGGTTGGCACCTAACAAACTGTAGTCTAATCTATAAAATAATGAGAAATAACTAACTTTTTTTTTTTCAGTCCCGGGGACTAAGATCAGGGCCCTGTACATGATAGGCAAGTGTAATGGAATACGGTTGTCCTGTGTGGCCCAAGCTGGCCTTGAACTTACTCCGTAACCCAGACCACCCTCAGACTCACATCAGACTGCCTTAGCCACCTAATTGCAGAAGTTCTAGGTATGTGCCATCATGCCCAGTAAACGAGGAATATTATTTAATATGGAATGACAGTCATCAATAAATACAACACGTTTTGTGTTTTTAATACAATAAACTTTCTAGGAAAGCAAATTGAAGAGATAATTTACTGTTTTGTTCAAAACTTTGCTCAACCTTGCTCAACATATCAGGAAATTACATCCTCAGTACGGTCGCGTTCATTTTCCTCTTAAATACTGATACGCTGCACCCCTAAACGTGTAGCTGTCAGATCTGCATAGACAGGAACATATTCCAGCCTATACTCTGTAATATTGAGTATCTATTCCGATGTCCACAGCCCGTAATTGAAACCCATAGTGTAAGTTTGTGATTTACGCCTCAACTCTACAGATTTATAGATTGCCTTCTCTACCATAGTGGGATTCTCAACGCATCCAAGACCTAGCAGCACCCTGGAAATGTTTACTGAACCAATGAACCTAACTTTAACGTTTCTATTCCCTTACAGAGGCCCCAAGAAGAGAAATACCCTGTTGGGCCATGGCTGTTGGCACTGTTTGTTTTTGTTGTCTGTGGCTCAGGTATGGTATTCCACTGAATTATAGCCCGTGTTCCCCACTGTCCTGGAAAAAATATGCTTTATCCATAGCCTAAATACACAAAGAAGTATTGATTCGGGGTCCAAGTCCATCGCTGCTTTAAACCCTAATCTTCATGGGTCTTCATTTATCAGTTTCTATCCCAAGTATGACGAGACAGAGTTGATACACTATCAAATTATAGTCATAAAATGATTACAAGAAATTAAATGTGTTTTGTACATGCTGTGAAGTTCAGTTGAGTTGTTCTGTATATACACAGCCTGAATAGAGCATTTGGAGCTGAAGGCGAAATAACCTGGTGGCTCAAGATAAACCCACATTCCAAAGATAGGGAGAGACCTTACGCCAGAGAACGTTCTACAGAAAGGCCAAACAGAACAGACCTTTGACCTAGCCACAGATACGGGTCACTTGCTACTTTGGGGTGGCAGTTCAGAGAGCTGTGCTTAAATCCTTGCAGATACTATACACATATGCACAAGGGACACGAGCAAAGAAAAGAAGCATGCAATTCTCTTCAGTGCTGTTAGTGGGGCCTTGTCTGTGCTCCTGGTCCCCATGTACTAAGTTTCTGCAATACT